GAATAGATGTGATTGAAGTGATCATGCACAGAAGTTCTGATGAAGAAAAAACAACTGCTTAAGGCAAAGTTAATGACATGACACTTCAATTACAAGACATGAGGTATAAATAATTATTTTAAAGTTATTATTAATTAAAAAATATTGTAATTTTGGTTAAATTATTTGCTGGGAAATATAGTGAAAGTAACATTGTGAGATGATTATATTGCGCTGTTTGAAGAAATAATAAAAGATAATGTATCTAAGGATTCAAAAATTAATGTTGCAATATTCACATCCACTATTGTAAAAGAATTTCAAGGTAATTGTATTTTTATTTTTTTTAAATATTTTATTTAGATAAATTATATATATATATATATATGCTTTATATTTAATTATAAAAATATGAATGTATGTATTATGAAAAATATTTTTATTTTTACGTTAAGATCAACAAAGATTTGTGTCAATATTGACATATAAAAAGTTACTCATTTTGTAGATTCATTCAGATATTGAAATTATTTAAAATCTCTCTGTTAAGTTAATTATTGCTAATTCTTTATTTTTAATCTTAACCACATTCTCAATTATTTATTATCATTTTGTTGTTGGGATTTTAATAATGTGCATATTATTCAAAATATTAATTCATCACTGTGTATTCTAATTATAAATTTTTATATTAAAATAAATTGAATTATATATTATTGTCTTAATTTATATATATTATATGTTTTGTCTTGAGCTTAATGTTAAAAATTTCACATATTTTACTATATTTGTTTTATTTGATGAATTTGTTGAATAATTAGCATAAGTAAAGTTAAAAGATTTTATTGCAACATCTGAAGTTGTAAGTAAATGTGTTAAGTTCTAACTTATTGAAAAATCTAATTAAATGATTGATTATATAAATAAAATATATTAAAACATATAACTATTTTTATGTGATAATTTTTTTAAAGGTAATGGTGAAAGGTTAAAGTTACTTACACAACTTTTAAAGATTATTGACATTTCACATATTTTTCAAATAAAAATAAGTATTTACTTTGAAAGTCATGGAAGACAAAGTTTGATTGCAAATAAAATTGTAAAGCCAGACAGTGAAAGTAATATAAGAGATTAAATTGGAGTTTCGTTACTTTAATTTATAATGTTTATAATATGATGATAAATAACTTTATTTTTATTATTTGATATATATAGATTGAGAAGGAATGAAGAAGGTTTAGACAATACAAATGCAAAAATAAAAGAAAATGACTTGACAATAAATTGTTCACTTATATTTCCAAATGTGAAAACATCAAATTTATCAAAAAGAAAGAGAAAATTAATGTATAAATTATTAATTTATAATGTATTGTTCAAATTTCTTAGATTATAAAGTAAATTATATTTGATATTTTCTTTTAGGTTGCAATTTGAAAAAGACGAAGTGAAAAATGGTGAACAAAAGACAACAACGGAGGATTAGAAGATTAAATCATTTTTATTGCGATATTGTATAAAGACTTTTAATATTGTGTATAATATGAAAAAGTAAAATGTCACCAAACATTTAAGTCTTTTATAAAATGATTTTGTTATTTTATTATATATATCTCTCTTACTTTATTATTATATATATTATGTATTAACTTTGTTTTTATACAAATCTTATATGTGATTCATAAATTTTATATTAAATTAATATCTTTCATTTTAATTGATATAAAAATTAATTTTTATATTAAATACAATTATTCTTTTCTTTTAGTTTCTACTTAAATCTTAATTAAAATTTTTTTAACTACTTATTTTTTCTCTTCTTTTATTATTTTAATTTATTTAAAAATAATTTAATAGAAATTGTTATATCATAATTATTATGTATAACCTATTAACATAGATAATATTTTATTTATATTTTATATTATAATAATTATGATATCAAATTTATTTTTTTTAAATTAAAAAAGTAACAATATTAATACTTAATGATTTTGTTGTAATATTTTTTTTATAAAATATTATAACAATAATGATAAATTTAAAATTCTGTATTAAAATAAACTAAATATTATTAAATATCATAACAATAAAAATAAATAATTTTTATATTTAATAATTTTATATCATAATGGATGAATAAGTAAAGAAAATATAAAGTTTTAACTCCAAATTAAGTTCAAATGTAATATTTAATTTCTATATATATAATTTGTTTCAAAAGTTAACAAATATTTTTCTTTACATACTTTTAAAATTTTATGAGTATGAAGTCTAAATTTTTACAACTATCGAAAGACTTTCAGTACGAAAAAAATAAAGGTTAGTGTTTAAAATGTTATAAAAATATTTTTTATATTAACATATGAAATTATATTTATTTATTGAAATTTTATATTCTAACTATATGATTATTCAAAATTTTCATATTGGAATATAAGTTTAGGGTTTAGGATTTTTTATTTGAATTTTTTTTTGAGAACATTCAATTACAAACGCAAAGAAAAATGATGCCTAATAAAAAAATTCAATTATTTTGTAGACTTACAATTAGTTTCTAAGATATAAATCAAAATATATAAAATCAAAACATATGAAATTATATTTATTTATTGAAATTTTATATTCTAACTATATGATTATTCAAAATTTTCATATTGGAATATAAGTTTAGGGTTTAGGATTTTTGATTTGAATTTTTTTTTGAGAACATTCAATTACAAACGCAAAGAAAAATGATGCCTAATAAAAAAATTCAATTATTTTGTAGACTTACAATTAGTTTCTAAGATATAAATCAAAATATAGATATTATATATAAAAATATGAAATCAATACAAGTATTTTTTATTAATATTATTATTTATTATGTTATATTTTTTAATTTTAAAAAATATTTAAATCAAATTCACTAAATATTGACATCTTTTTGTAGAATTAGGTAATGTATCCAAGAGATAGACAAAAAATAAATATGAAAACATAAATAAAATCTTCAATTCACTAGATCTATGTCAAAATAGTTAGAATATATCTAATTTTTTTAATAGTGATATAATATTTTAATGTGTTTATATTAAAGTTATATTTATATATTTTTAAAATAATTATAGACCTGATAGTAATATTTTTTTTTTACTTATTTTTAATTTAGTCTACATGTTTCCTTTTATATAGCATTTTAAATTTTTTAATTTTATTTAAATTAGTATTTATTCTTTAAATGAATTTTTTAAAATATTATTTCATCATTAAATTACTTTATAACTATATTTATTTTTATTAATTATTAATTAAAATGATAAATGATAAATAAACTGTATTAATTATTTTCAAAAATTAAAAAAATTACATAATAAACATTAATAATTTATTATTTTAATTTTATAACTCAAACAACATAATTTTATTATACTTAATTATTAAATAAAATTAATCTATTTATAACGTCAATCAATATTAATTCAGTTAAATTATAAAAAATATAGAATAATTTAATCATTTTAAAAACACTCGATTCTATTTTTTTTATCAAAAAGTAAATTTTTAATTTAGAATATATATTATATTATTATTAATTTTTATTTACAATAATTTTATAAGGTAATTTTATTTATATATAAAAAATTTACAATATTTTTATTTTTAAATATTAGCATATAATCTTGAATATATTAATTTTGGAAGTAAATTTTTAGAATTTCATATATTATTTGAATAAATATAACTTTATTTTTTATATATTAGTCTAATAAGTTATTTTAAAAAAAATATAATATCATGCTTTAATAATTATACAGTAAATTTTTATTAATAATTCTAAATTATAATTATAAATAAATATTTTATCATAAAAATTTAATTTAACAAATACAAACAAATACATAAATAAAAAATTGTAAAGCCTTTTATTTAAATTTTATAACTTATATTAAAAAATTTATTATATTTATAATTTATTATTATAATTATTTATTTAAAATTTTATAATGATAAATGATTTATGATATCATAAAATAATATAAATTTTATTTTTATATTTTAAAAATAAAATATTTTATGCTAAGAAATACTAAATTATTTATATTTTAAATAATTTTAAATAATAATTTTTTAGTAAATGAATTTTTTTCCTATATTTATTTTTATATTTAAATTATATATTTTATATTTTAAAATAAATTAATTTAATAAAAATAAAACAAATCGTAGAATATATGGGCATTTTTACTAATTTTTAAATATTAAATTAAATTAAATAAAACATACTAAAACTACATATGTAATATTTCATATATTTATTATTTAAATTCTACGAATCATTATTTATACCTAACTAATATTAACCTATAATTTTTGGTTGATTTTGGAAAGTGCAAGCATTGAAATATAAGTTCATCAAGTCAATTATTTGAGTTGTTAAAAACACATACATACATTGTGTTGTGTAATTAACTATTTATTATTATTAAAGTTTAATTGAAATTTAATTAAATAATTTATTTTGTATATTTTTTAATTAACATATGAAATTTATTTTTATTTAATTTGAGGGTAGGTAATAAGTCTTGGTATGTATGTGTATGTAAGGATATGCTTAAAAGAGTTTGTAATCAATTAGTGAAAACAATTTATGATTTATATAATTTTTTAGCTTTTTCAAAATATTTTTAAATATAATTATAGAAAATTTAATTTATTTTAATAATTTATATTATTAAATTTACAATATAACTTAATATTTTTTAAAAAAAGTTTATTAAATAAGTACATATATTTATACACTCTTTACGTATTAATGGAATATGAACATAGAGAATATAAATATTACCTACACAAATTTGGGTCTCTTTAAGTAATTTTAAATGTTTTTAAAAAATAATATATATATATTACAATTTTAAAGGAGAAAGAAAAGAGAAATAGAAGGGGGAGCAATAGCAATAGAAGGAAGAAGTGGGGCGAAAAAGGAAAAAGGAGAAAATAGAAAGTGTGTGTACGCCCTAGAAGAAAAGAGGGAACAAACAAGATTAGAAGTTTCTGCGTTCATTTTGTGTAACTTGATTTCAACCATAACCCATCCAACACTCCTCAAAATACCAAATTCTCTCTCTCTGCAGGTTCAACTTCAGCACCCAATTACCCTCTAAAAACCCTTTCTCTAGATCTCTACCAAAACAATTCTCTCTCTAATTTCCATTTCTCAAAACAAGAGAAAACCCTAACCCTTTTTTGTAACACCTTCTAGCTTCCTACCTCTCTCTCTGTATCATACCCTGAAAACTCTCATTTTTCATCTCACTGGTTTAGATTTCGTAACAATTTCGGCACATTTTCTCCCGATATTATTAGGTTAGTTTTGTTGTTTTTTCCTTTTTGCGGTGTAAGTTTTTAGGGTTTTGAATCGGTGAAATGAACAACAATAGAGCGAGGTACCCACCTGGAATGGGTATTGGACGACCGGGTTTTAACCCGAACCCGAATCCAAATCCGAATCACCCTTTTCAGGCAAGGCCACCGTACCAGCAACAACCGCACCAACAGCAATATGTGCAGAGGCATTTGGTGCAACAGCCACAACAACAACAACAGTGGCTGAGGAGGGACTCCAACGTTGTTGACGAGGTCGAGAAGACCGTGCAGTCTGAAGCCGTTGACCCAAGGTGTGTGTCTCTTTCTTCATATCAGTTTTTTGTGTATGTTTCCTAATTAGGGTTAGGGGTTTGAGATGTTATCCACGTGTTTTGTCAATGCTTGTTGGCTGTTTGTATTGTTTGTGTTATCTCTGTAATGTATTAGTGGAGTTGGGTTGATGATGTTTAGCTTATAAGTTTTTGTTTGTGAGTAGTGGTGAAGTGGAAAACAGTGATCTTCAGTTTACACACTCCAATGGTTTTGTTACTTATTCTTACTTGCATTGGGCAATGGCTGCTACTGTGGTGAACTGCTGCTGAGTTGAGTTTTTTCACTCCTTTATTCATTCTTGTGACGTAGCCAATAGCTATTCTGTGCCGGCATAGCATCTGTTTGCGATGGCATATTGTTGGAATGAACCTGTCTTCTACTGGGCCTCTTTAGGCCCTAGACCAGAGAGAGCACATTGTCCATTCCATAGTAGTCAATCCTGGATAGCCGCACTGAGTGGCCGACCCCAAATCGCTATAGTGGATAGCGGGATGACTGCTATTATGAAAACAATCAAAACAGAGAAGAAAAATAGATCAAAGAGTGTTTAGTTACCGGAAAAAAATCTTTAAAGCCAATTGTCTTACTAGAAAGTGTCTCACTATCATCAGAAAAAGTCTACATCTTGTCGGAAATAGGTTACACTAGAGATGAAGAAGACAACCAGTAAATGTCTCTGCTCACGTTAGAAATAAGTTGGATTTTGCCGGAGATGAAGATGACGACCAAAACTTGGCCGGAAATGGTGACCAAGAGAACGAAGCAAGAGAACATAGGTGGAGGTAGGGTTTAAGATGGAGGTAGGGTTTAATTTTCAGAAATATAAAAGTGGGCGAAATCCCAAGATAGACCCCTTAAAAAGCATTCCAACTTTCAGATAGGGAGGGAAAACTTGCCCTTTTGCCCCTGTTTGGCATATAAAAGGGGGGAGAAATCCCTAGGTTGAACCCCTTGAAAAGCATTCCAAACTTCAGAAAGGGAGGGCAAACTTGCCCTTTTGCCCTAGGATGAAAAAGCGGCCGCTAGGGCCGTGAACGTGATTTGTGCTGCTTTTTGCCACTATTTGCTGCGCAATGGCTGCTACACTGAAATGGAATGTGCGGCACTTTTATCTTGTTTTGCACGACTGATGAGTCCTTCTCTGGCTCTGGTTGGACGGCCCTCTGAAATTTTTTACACCTGATCTTCTCAAGGGACAATTCTTCCAAATAGGAAATGACACTGCTGAGCTCTGATTTTGGTATTTTACGTCAGTTGTGTTGGCTTTGGTGGTTGACATTGCTGTCCTTCTTCTACGGGCATTAAATGTATTTTTTATTCATTTATGATAGTTACTTTAGTTGTTAGACATTTGTTGTTGTATCCTAGGCTCTTTATTGTACTTACACCAATATAGTTGATATCTGTCTTAAATTTTGAGTATTGAAACCGTGATTATCAATTCAGGATTCAAATCGAGAATTCGAAGGCCTGTTTTCTGAAATGACTTGAACTGCATTGTGAATTTTAAGATTCATGATCAATATTAAAAACACCGTAGATAAAGAAACATCCAAATTATTGAATATTTATATATTGGCATTTTAAAGTCACATAGATATAGCTAACTAAGTGGGGTATAAAACTTCAAAGTAGACCAAGATTCTATTCATAGCAGTCACTTTGACAAGGTGACTGAACAATTTAGCTGTATAGTCCCTTAAAAAAAATTGGCATAAAGTCACTATTTCCTATTTCCAATGCCTACTCTGGTATTCATTCATCATTCCCTAGAACAATGTCATTTAGTTCCTCTTCCTCCCCATCTTCTGCAATCTCTTCAATTTCATTCTTATCACCTATTAAGAATTCTTCATAAATGTAGATATGGGTAACTTTGGAGGGGGGAAATCAACTCTTCACCCCCAATTTGTTTAAAAATTTGCAAAAGAAAAAGAGTAAGTAATTTTAGGGGTTTTTGAAACCTGGTCTTATGCAAGATCCGCTTGCTCCAAAATCAGCTGCAATACAGATGATTCAAAGTGTGATTTAACTCCAAAAATGATTCTAGACGTGACCTAAATTTTTGTGTCTTGGAATTGAATTGAATCACACGGATTCTATTACAATTTATAACTCTGATAAGATAACAATGATTGAACCTTGTTTTATTGTTTATGGTATAAAGTTTTAAAACTATTAATATCATTAATTATGTTGGTTTACTTTTTTTTAGTTCTATTCGCTGCAGCCACTCTTTTAGCTATAACTATTTATTTTATCAATCATTTTTTTTTTTGCTGGAAATATTTTGTTTCCAAACATGCATTCAGTTCCCCAACGAGGGCTGTTTTTGGCACAAAATGCTCAAACCAACATTCCAAACACAAGGCATGTATTGTGTTTGGTTTAACTTATTTTAAAGAACTCAGCATCTGTTTGCTGGAAATATTTTGTTTCCCAACATGCATTCAGTTCCCCACATGGGCTGTTTTTGGCCCAAAATGGTCAAACCAATATTCCAAACTTTCTCAAGAGAAGACATACGAAGAGGCAGGGGAGGCATGTACTGGAGGAAGGCTGCTTTGCTGCACACAGGAAGAATCAGCGGAAGAGGCCAAAGGGTTGGAGAAAAAAACACAAAAACCCTAAAGAAACTCGCAACTTCATATAAAATAGAAAATAGTTAAAATATTGAACAGTGCCTCAAGTGATGCAAAACATACCTCAACTTGGGAGAAGAGAAAAAAATATACAAAAAATAATGTGTCAAGGGTAGCTTCTTTCGACAAAGCTAATGGACTTAAAACATATTTTTCATTACTTAGTGTGTTTAATTCAGCTTATTTTCAAGAATATTTTTTTTGAATGCTTCCTAAAAGAAAGTGATTATTCCCAAAAATAATCATTTACCATACATGTAAATAACACTATAGTTGGAAGATTTTCTGTAAGGACCCAAACCTAGATGGTTTGTCATCGTAAATAGTGAATTGACTAAGTACATCACCTCATATCATGCATGTCCTGCCCCACATACCAAACCATAGTGCAATCCTTGTAATATTGGGAGCATTCCTAGGATTTTTCTCCTCTTTGGTATTTTTTGAACTCGAGTTCATTTAATTAAGTGATTGAAACATGTTTTTTTAAGTCAGATTCTGAAATGATTATAGAAATGCCAAATTGTGTGGCAAGCCAGCATCCTTGGTTGCTTTATCTATCTTGTTCTTGTCTCTTATCATCATCAAGCTTCTGATGCTTTCATTTATGAATTACTTTCTTTGCTTGAAGTTTTCAATGCTTGCCTTCTTTTTTTTATGTGTCTGCTGACATGCAAAGTGGAGCGTGTATTGTCCTTAATCTTGGCTTATGCCTCTGTTCCAAATGTTTATCCATGTAATCAACTCTACCTGACTAGAAAAGGCTTGGTTGTTGTTATTTTGATGAATTTATGAGCTTGTGATTGATTGGAAATTGTCACAATGTGTAAGTTAAGGTCTTGATCTTTTACTTCTAGATGAAGCCATTTTCTTTAGTGGTTCTCTTCTTTCAAAAGGAAAGAGTGTTCTCATGTTATCCACATTTGTTTTTGGCTTTCCTTTATCAGTTCACAAGATTGGAAAGCAAGACTAAAGATTCCACCACCTGATACGCGCTATAGGACAGAGGTATGGTCATGAATTACTGTTATCTTATGCCTCAAGTTATTGGTTATCCGCATTTGATGTTAATCATATATTTTGTTTGACATCTGTAGGGCATTACACCTTATTTGTGATATTTCTAATTCCTTACCTTTTTATTTTTGCATATCCTTTTTAGTATGGATTTGTTTTTTCATACACACTAATATATTATAAATGTTTGGTGAAGATCATTCTTATCATAGAATCTAACTGTCATTTTGTTGATTGATTTGTGTCTTTTTTTGTGCCTTGTGCTTTATTAAGCATTTGATTGCATACTTTCAGTTATTTAGATTACAATCATACTTATAGAACTACTTCAACTATTTATACTTTGTCTGGAGATTTAGTAAATGTACTGAACTGTACTCCTTGTAACTGATGCAGTCAATGACAATTACCCTTGACTTAAGTATTAGATTTTTTAGTGTGGTGTGATCAGTGTTGTTAAATGGCGGTGCCATGGCAGAATTTGGTGGCAGTTTTTAACTCCGCCTTTACAACATTACCGTTTTTTGGCATTTTTCAATGGCGGCCGTTACGCGCATGGCGGAAAATGTAGAAAAATGGTGTTTTTGTGGGAAAAATTGAGTTGGGCCACTGACTCGATCTGCTCCAAAAAGAAAATCCATGAGCCCAAACCCTAAATCACATAATTTCTTCCTTTTTTCATCACTGTTGTATTGTGCTGCCGTGGAGCGGCGGTCTATGCTTGCTGTGAAGTATTTCTTTATTTGCAGAGGTTAAGCCCTAATTGTAGTGTATTGGTGTGGGTATGCACTTTTGAAGTGTAATGGACAAAGAGAGCTAAATTCCAATCTTGCCCTTGCTTTATGTATTTTAGGATTTTTTAAGGGCAAAATAGACTTTTTCCACTTAAAATTTTTACCTTCTCTTCTCAAGCGGTAAATTTTCTGAAGGGTAAAATTTTTAGGGTTCTCTCTGCTCTGTTTTTCTTTCTTCTCTAAAGCCAACTTCTCCTTCATCTCCTTCACCATTTTTGCAGGAGAAGACATCCTTTCCGGCTGTTTTCTGGCAACTGTGAGTGGAAGGCTCTGTTTTCTGACGTTCATTTGGCTTCTCTGGGCTCTGTCCCTCTTTCTTAGTTTTTCCCTCTCCTATTTTTTTTTTTTTTCCCAATTCTGTTTTTCCCTCTCCCATTCTGTTTTACTCCCCCATTTTTTTTCATTTTTCCTTATTATTTTGTTTTCTTGATTCTATTTTTATGTTTTCACTTCCAAGTTTCCTTCTTCATATTTATTTTTAATTCTCTACTTTTCTGTTATAACTTTAGCTTTTTTCACTATTGTACAACCATTTTATTCTTTTTTTCTCAAAACCTTCCTTCTTTTATATGTAGTTAGTTTTCTAGTTTTATATCACATTTTGCAATATATATATTTATTATTATGACTGCCATGGCATCTGCCATAATTTTATGGCAGTTTTTTTGCTTTCTGCCATGACCTTCAATCCGCCATTGATAACATTGGGTGTGATTATATTTTTGCACATTTGCTTAATATTTCTAATATCTACTTGAAAGGTGTGAATTGTGTGGTAAATGATACCATCCATGGATTAGTCATTTTAGATACTTTGATTATGGGGTTTGTCATAATTAACTTTTATTTTATAACATCTATATGTTTCTCTTGATCTGCCTTGTTGTTCCCCAGGATGTAACAGCAACTAAAGGAAATGAATTTGAGGATTACTTTTTGAAGCGTGAGCTTCTCATGGGAATATATGAGAAGGGTTTTGAAAGGCCTTCCCCCATCCAAGAAGAAAGCATTCCAATTGCTCTTACTGGTAGTGACATTCTTGCTAGGGCCAAAAATGGAACTGGCAAAACAGCTGCATTTTGCATTCCTGCATTGGAAAAAATTGATCAGGACAATAATGTTATTCAAGGTTTGATGTCCTTTTACCTTCAGCTTTTTACAATTGTCAGAAGCTAATTGAAAGGACTGTATATAATGATGTCTCAGTTCCAAAAGCCTATCTGGTAGTGTGATACTTATCCTCTGTAGTGTTCCTCTATTAAAAAAAGTAGAAAATCAGATCTGTCACTGGTAAGGTTCAGCTAGAGTAGCAATAACAGTCTGGACTTTGGGGGGTGTCATGTTCGTTTTCATATATGTTATCAGGTTTTTGTCCTGAATGATACTAAAGCTGTTATAAATGGATTGCATTTGGTTTCAGCATGAGTGCATGTATGTGAAGGTGCATGCATGAGTGTGAACCATGTTAAATTCAGAGTTTATTTCTCTTCTCATTATCCTCTACTGGACATCTTGTTTTAACAAATGCTCTGTTGTTGTTCTCTTAGAAGGTTATTTTAGATGATGATGAATGCAGATAGATTTTGTTGCCACAGTTGAAAATAATCATATATATTTTTTTCTGTAGCATTGTTGTGCATGATTCAAATCTGCATTATTTGTAGTTATTTCATGGTTGTTGACTTTTTAAGTAATCATGATGATTGGCTCTATGATTGGGTCCAAAGTATCCGGGATCCCTTGGTTGCTAGTCCAGGTCCAAGTGTCTCAATTGCCAAGCCTAGTGGTTGGGTCGTTTATTATAGAAAGAGGAGGAATAAGGGTCCTATTGGAATATAGAACCAGTTGTTAGTTTGTTAAAGATTGGCGCCTAACATGTAATATAAATAATGATTAGAAGAAGAGAGGTGTGTAGATTGTTCTTTTGTTTGGTTGCAAAGAATCTCCTTTGAGGAGCCTAGCTCCCGGACACCTTTGTGTACAAAACAATTCTTTTTTGTTCTGTCTTGAGTTCCTATCACTTTACTCATGTTTTGACTGTTTTCTTATATTTTTCTATCATGCAGTTGTTATTCTGGTCCCAACCCGAGAATTGGCTTTGCAAACATCTCAAGTGTGCAAAGAGCTTGGGAAGCATTTGAAAATTCAAGTTATGGTTACCACAGGTGGTACCAGCCTAAAAGATGATATTATGCGCTTATATCAACCAGTTCATTTACTAGTTGGAACTCCAGGAAGAATATTAGATCTTGCTAAGAAGGGTGTTTGTATTTTGAAAGATTGCTCTATGCTTGTCATGGATGAGGTAAATACATTTCACCTGAAATTCACATGATTTGGCTGAGAAGTATGTACAGTTTGCAAAATGTTTGCACGTTTAAATAACTTTAGGAAGATGAGGGTTAGAATCAAGATTAGATCTTATTAGACAATTATGCTCGGTGGGGATATATGTTTCTTTTAATTTTTGTCATATCTGCTGGGATCAGGAATTTGTATTCCTAAATGTTGTCAAGTTGGTAGTGGAAGGAAGCAAATGCCTCTGTTTATTGTTTTCTCATTTACATCTTAAATATTGAACAGGACATTTTCTTTTCTATCCTATGTTACTTATCAATCTGAGGATTTACGTAGCTTTTTCTGTGTTGATCAGGCTGATAAGCTTCTGTCCCCAGAGTTCCAACCTTCTGTAGAGCAGTTGATTCATTTTCTTCCTAGAACCCGTCAAATCCTGATGTTTTCAGCTACATTTCCTGTCACTGTAAAGGACTTCAAAGATAGGTATCTTCAGAAACCTTATGTCATCAACCTTATGGATGAGCTAACTCTGAAGGGTATTACACAATTTTATGCATTTGTGGAAGAGAGACAAAAAGTCCACTGTCTAAATACTCTATTTTCTAAGGTTTGGCTTTTCTTTGTCCTCTTGATTTTCTTATATGCCACTAGTGAAGATGTAATAATAATATGATGATGATGACTTCTATTGCAGCTGCAAATAAATCAGTCTATCATCTTCTGCAATTCAGTGAATCGGGTTGAACTCCTTGCAAAGAAAATCACAGAACTTGGGTATTCATGTTTCTATATACATGCAAAGATGTTGCAAGATCATCGTAATAGAGTATTTCATGACTTCCGGAATGGTGCATGTCGAAATCTTGTTTGTACTGGTATGTTGGTGACATTTTGGCAGCTTCCTATGAATGAGCATAATGGGGATGTTTTCTATTGCTTGTGAATGATACCTGTTCTAACAGATATGGCTCTGCCATATTTTTTAGTTTTTGATCCTCATTTTCCATTATTTTGGAATATTATATTCATTTGTTTTATTTTAAAAAATAAGTTTTGTAATCAATAGTTATATAATCTATATTTGTTTAGTGTAATGTTTTTACGTCATGATATATTACAATGACAATGCAAATAAATCTTTGTTTTAATTAATCTGTTTAATCAAACTCTTTGTTTATATATATATATTGTAATAATTTAAAATTTTCATATTTCTTTATATGTTACATTTGCAGATCTTTTTACTAGGGGAATAGACATTCAAGCAGTTAATGTTGTTATTAATTTTGATTTCCCGAAGAACTCAGAGACTTATTTGCATAGGGTATGTTTGATTTGTGCTCACTCCCTATTCCCTACCTAATTCATTTTCTTTGATACTAGTTATTTGTATATGTGCTGAAAAGGATGTTCTGCTGATAACAGGTTGGTCGATCAGGGAGGTTTGGGCACCTTGGTTTAGCAGTGAACCTGATTACCTATGAGGATCGCTTTAATTTGTATGTAATTTACATTTGAATAAATTTCAAAGATAGCTGCTGTAGATTTCTGATGCATTCCATTTTTTGTTCAGATATAGGATTGAACAAGAACTTGGAACTGAAATAAAGCAAATTCCTCCGCACATTGATCAGGCAATTTATTGCCGGTGATTGGCAGTAAATACCAGGGTTATGTTGACAACTGGCTAATAGCCACGGTGAGTGACAGGATTTTTTGTTTTCCTTATTTATGATGAGCGTTCTGGTTCCAGAAAAGAGTTGTGATCTCTAATCACGGTGATAAATATGTATAATTTTAACTGTAAAACTTTGCAACTGCAAATAGGTTTCAATAGAAACAAATTTATCTGCACAAAGGACTTTGATATCATAATTAATTTCTTGTTAGGATGAAATAAATGCATTCTGACCTGCCAAAAATATAGTTCTATTGGTTTTCTTTTCCTGGAACTTCAATTTTTGTATCTTCTATTATTTTCTTTGAATTATTTGATGAAGTTTTTACCCATGTACTTTATTTTTATTAATTATGTTCCATTTAAATAAGAAAAGCTGGCTGGGCATATTTTGAGTATTGTATATTTTCAATTCAGATTGTAGGGCCTTGCAGTGGTATTTGCCTGCATGACTCAGCTCATGATTTGTAAACTATGATTCATAGCTGGAGTTGCTTTTGCTGACATGTGTGCATTTTCTACAGGTTAATGTGACTGACTGAAGCAAGTTCATATGCCCTGGCATGCAAGAACGCACTATGGAAAACAGGGTATTGTTGAACCCTTTGTTGAGTGCCTTTTTCCATTATTAGGACCTTAAAAATTTAATACTGGCTTTTAACTGCCCAATAGTTACTGGGTCCAGTTTGGGTTTCCGTTGATTACATTTGCAGATTTGTTTGTCACATGGTATTAGTATTTTAGTTTTATAATTGAATGAATGGTTTAGGGATACTATACCTTGTTATGAATATGCCCCTTCCCCATGCTTATTATTCTATTTGGTCTGCCAGTATAGGTTCTCTTATAGATGGTAGATTCATTTAGCTGTAGAAACCTCAACATTTGCTGCTCAGATTATGCTATATGGTTCATGGCGATGCTGGTTTATCTGCCATTGCTTTTCGCCAGGATTTTGATGGCCTTTGCCGTTGAAGCCAAAGTATGTGGAATCCTCGTCAATTTTTAATTTCATGAGGATGCCCTTAGTCACTGAATTTCTGGTGGTCATGGAATTTTATATACGTATGAAGTGGCTTTGATAGATTGTAAGACATTTCCAAGCGCAGCTTTATACTATTCAATTTTTCATAAACAGGAAAATCCTTTTCAGTTGGCCATCAATTCTTCTTTAGCTTTGCTGAGAATGTTGGATTTATATTCAAATGTAAAATTATAATATCCGGTTCATAAATATTTTGGTAAAACACGACGCTGTCGACATTTAAATAATTATTTGAATTATATCTTAACAAATGATCTTAAATTATGATAATAAATCTGATAGCGAAAAAAATTGATTCCTCTTTTATATATATTCAAACGTGACGCGAGGCTTTATTAAAAATTTGATCAGCTAGCAATGCATTTGACTAAATTAAAACCAGTTTATTTATTACCCCCAAGATAAGAACTGCAGGATAATCTGGTCTGAGAATTAATGAATCTGATTCATTTAATTTGTTTTGTGTACGATAAATTTAATTTTAAATTAAAACTTAATTATTTTTATAGTTAATTTTGTAACTGCGCTGCCTTGGAGGATGTGACCCGTTTTATTTGACCATTTGAATAATGTACACTTTATTGAATTATATAAGACTCATTAAAAACTTGTCACAGCTACAGCTACCGATGTAGCTTGACTTGAAAAATACTATTTATCGCATAATTTTATTTTATTAATTCAGAGTTTGAATGGAAAAGTAACTTCTTCGTCCTGATTTAAACTGAGTAATTATGACACTTTTTTTTGAAAAAAGATTGAGATTACATGGTCTTTTAACATAATATATTTTATGATTAATTTTAGCTTGGGATTTGTGGTTGTAACTAGTTGAAAGAAATTTAGTACACGTTAAGGTTTGAATATGGGACTTATTAAATAATTTATGTATGTATTGATCAATTTAGTAAAAAGTCTTATGTTTAAATTTACTGTGTGCAAATTTTTTTCAAGCGACAACCATGAATAATAACCATAAATTACCTCGTGAACAAAAACAGATTTCATAAACTGGTTGATTTGCAAAAATAATTAGTGTCCCTGTACCATACCTACTAAAATGCAAATAATAGGAGTAACCGCAGAAGTAAAAATCAATTAACTCAACAAATATTAGACGGGGATTAACTGGTAAACTCATTCCATGAATCAATTATAGAGAGAAAATTTAAGTTATAGATGAGGAAATAGTCAATATATTATGTTATTTTAGAAAAAAAATTTAACCAATATCTTAAGAATACCGGCTAAAGAATAATTTTTTAATAAAATACATAATAATGCATTCATTTTTGGGATTTGTAATAAATTCTAAAACAATTTTTACTACAATTTTTTTTTATTCTTTATCCAATGTCCTGAAGACATTTGTTAGCAAGACCATTTATTTTTATGTCATTTGAATGTCAGTTTTGTTAACATGTTCTAAGGATTAACTTTAAGATCTCAAAGTAATAATTTTTTAGTTAAAAAAAAAATATGACATTAGATACAATGTTATAGGTTTTTTATATTATTCTTAATTAAAAATTTATTTTAATAATGTATGTTATTTTTAATGTTAATACTATCACGTGAATTAACAAAATAAATTTTAATTTTGATTAATAAATAACATTAAAAGGTTATAATACTATTCCTAATTTTTTTTATTTTACATAACTAAAATTTTAGACCAAACAATTACTGATTTTTCCCTTCTTTGAACATGGTAAACCTAATCTCACATGTTTTGTAGCTTTTGCATGCTGCTTATCAACAAATTTTTTTTGGTTGACTTAAATATTTACAATTGTGTAATGATATTTTTTAACAACACTTTTTTGTAATACTTTTACCATACAGAAATAGTATTAAAAAAATGTGATAAAATAAATAAAATAATATATTTTAAAATATATTTTTATAAATTAAATGTTTTAAAAGAACATTGTTATTACTTACAACATGACATGCATTTATAATTAAGTGATAATAAAGGTGAAAATTTTAAAAAAAAATTTAAAGAAATTAAACTAGCATAATTTTTTTTAAAGTAAAACTAAATTTGATTATAATTGTAAAAGTTAATAATATATTTAAGTCAAATAAATAATATGATGAAAAAAATTAAAAAATTATAAAAAATATTGTTTCCATAGAACCAAACCAAGCCTTTCTTAAATACTCTTAGGAATCTGTGAAAAGGAAGATTGGAAGAAATAGTTTTCTAATTCATTGGTCATTTCAATTTGTGTCCGTACACTGCTTACCATTAATTGCACCTTCCATTCATCCTTCTTTTCCGCTCAGTCCACCAGAACATCTCTTAGCATCTTCATCTTCTTTCCTCAAATAATTTTTCTATTTTTAATTTTTATTTTTTATTTGTTAAATAAAAACAATTTTCTTTTTTATTTTTTACATAATTCTATTTGATATTTTAAACAATTTTAAAATATTTTAAAAAAATATGTATAAAAAATATTTATTTTATACTAATATATTTTTTCTTCTTCTTGACTCTGCCATTAATGCAGTCACTGTCATATTCACTGCATCCTTTTTTCTCTCTCATACCATTTATGTGCAAAGCAAAAATCTGGACATACGACACACGCCCTTTATCTCCTTTTATCGCACTCTTCATTCTTTCGAGTTTTACTCATTCCACTTTAATGGATAAAATAATGTAAATTATACTTAACTGTTAATTAAAATAACAATAATTAAAACTATACTAAAATACTTGAATATATCTAATTTGTGAATTTGTAAAATTCAAATTTGTTTTGGATTAACCAGAATCATTTTTATGAATTGTATATTAATTATGCTTGGTTTTTACATGTAAACGAGGGTTTAGGGCTTAGACTGAGATTTGAGTGAAAATAAATAAATAAAAGCTCTTGCACTAACTTGATTTAATTACTTATCTTAGCATGTCAAAATAACTTTTCATACACATATATTTAAATATAAATGACTTTACTTCAAGTTCTTATTTCAACACACGCAAGTCTTAATAGCTTTTATTTTTTTCAATACGTTTCTTACATTTTCATTTATTTTTTCATCTCCTTTTATTTTCTCTGCAATGATTATTATTTAATCTCAAGGATGGTTCAATGTCTGAATGGAACTGTACACATTTATTGCATAAAGCCAGCTTGAAACTCGCCTATAGTCCTTACAAGCCCCGTATCAATAAATACTGGCTCCTCAAATAGCCATAAAGATCACACACACTTTTTTGGACATTTAAACCCTTCCCAGTTTGTGTCATACTTCAAGGCTTCAAGTGTCCTCTTTTTGAGGACCATTTCAAGTGTTCGCAACACAAAAAACAAAGGAATTCACTTAAAAAAGGTGTGTGTCAAAGTTGAAAATGTTGTTCTCCCTCTCTTTGGTTTGAGTTATGATCTTGACTTTGTGAAGTGTCCTGTGGTAAGGATGGGAAGAGCACCTTGTTGTGACAAAATGGGCTTGAAGAAGGGTCCTTGGACAGCTGAAGAGGATGAGATTCTTGTCAACTTTATCAAGAAAAATGGTGGTCATGGAAGTTGGCGTTCTCTTCCCAAGTTGGCAGGTTTTTATGCCTTCTATTCTTCCCTTGCTTTGTTTTTCTATTCTCGTTTCCAAACTGTCCTCCAACTACACTTTTTCTCCCTTTGAAACTAAAGTTCCACTCACAAAGCAATGAAAACGCTACTTTTTATATATAAGCTACCTTTCCATTGTTATGAATCATATATTTCTTGAATACCTTCTTTCTGTTTGATGGTAAGCTTGCAGTTTTTCTTGCTTCAACAATCACTTTGTCTTGGATGGTTTTTGTATCCCTTAAATGATTTGTACTTTGCCACCATATTATTAGGCAAGAGATTTGTTGTCCTATATTGTATTGGGTTTAAGGGCAAGAGAAAGTTCCTATGTTGTCCTATGTTTACGATATTTATTTTATCTCGTGTCATGTCATATATAAGATGAAAAGAATTTATTGTATTTTTATATAATTATATAATTTAGTATATTGATAATATAAAATGTTATAATTTTTAATAAAATTTTACTATCTATTTATTTTTTATTATGTCCCTTCTGTCCAAATAATCTATTTTTATATTGATGGTACTTAGCTGCTTAGGGAACACTTCAAGTTTGAAAAACACTTAATCAAACCAAGTGAAGAACTTCATTAACTCTTTTCCCCCACTTCCCTTTTTCATGTCTCTAATTAACGTTGTAAGACAGGAAGTTTAAAGTATAAGAAAACTTGCGCCCTTACATGGAGCATATTATTAGCATTGCATAACAATTATGTTAATTTTTCATTAAATTTGTTGCACACAAGCTAACCAAGTGCCAAATCACTCATCCATTTGTAGTTTTTTCTTCACATATTGATTTTGTTTTAATCTTTGCTTCGAATTATTGTCAAATGACTAGAGAATAATTAGCAATATAACTTGCCTTTAAAGTTTTAACATTATAGACTAGGTTATTCCTTTTCATTCAGGTCTTCTTCGTTGTGGTAAGAGTTGCCGGCTAAGATGGACAAACTACCTGAGACCTGATATTAAACGTGGTCCCTTTACACTTGAGGAAGAAAAGCTAGTCATACAGCTTCATGCTATCCTTGGAAATAGGTACTTACTGTTCATGAAATATATACATATAAATTTTCATAACACTCTTGTGAGAAAAATCGTTTTTGTTCTTAATTGTGTTTGCTTTCAACTCATGTTTTTTGTCAATCAAATTAGTTCTTAAATACACATTCAATTAGTCAAATTAATCATACAAGTCCTTGATGTAAATTTTAATTTGGCCAAGGAAATGTTCTTTTCATGCTAAAATTATATACTTTTTAGACTGTTTTCTGTTTTATAACTATTGTCATTTTAGAAATTCAAGGCCTGATCCAATTTTGTTTCCAGTTATATCCTCATTTCACAATAATATGAATAGTTAATTCAGAATTATCTCCATTTAATTAAATAAAATAAAGATATATAATAAAATTTTACGTCAACTAATAATTTCTTAATCTATGTGCATCAATCTTGAAAACTAAAATTTTGAAATGGAGCAATTACATGTTCAATTCATAGACTTTAGATGTAATATCCACCATTTAAACACTAAAGTGCTTAAACAACAGTTATTCAAACGCACCATTTGTTAACAATGTTCAAGCAATGAACACAATTCACAGGTGGGCTGCTATAGCATCTCAACTAGCAGGAAGAACAGACAATGAGATAAAGAACCTATGGAACACCCACTTGAAGAAACGTCTCATTTGCATGGGACTTGACCCACAAACCCATGAGCCATTGAACTCTTCAAATTACCCAATTAACAAAACAAATGCATCCATTTCAACTCGCCACATGGCTCAATGGGAGAGTGCAAGGCTTGAGGCAGAGGTCAGGCTCTCTAGGGAATCATCATTGTTCAACAACACTTGTTCCTTTCCCCACAAACCTGATTCTGACTATTTCCTACGCATTTGGAACTCTGAAATTGGACAATCTTTTCGTGATGTGCACAAATCATCTGACAAAAGTAGCATTTCTCTAGGATCATGTTCCAACAAATGTGGGTCAGTATCTGCCACTACAACGGATTTGGCTTCTAACCCAGTTGGATCCTCAACCGCAGCAAGCACAGTCAAAGAAGGTTTGGAATGGGGTGAGAGAAAAATTGGCTCTGATTCATCATGCTCTAGTGAATTAGAAGACTCATGTGACACTTCATTACAGCTCTTGTTAGATTTTCCTATTAACAATGATATGAGCTTCTTAGAATGAGAGTTGTGTATTTGCCACCACCCTTTAGTGCATGTATGTATGATATTCTTCCATTTAGGTTTTGGTTGGCTAATTTGTAGACTTGGTATATGAGAAGATGAACTAGTAGTACTTAGTTAAATATAATGGTTATTCAGCATTAATGACATTGAGGAATTTTGATTATTAGGCTTATTAGGACCCGTAAATGAAACTAATTGAATTAATGTATTTTGATTTCTTATCTGAGTTTATATTTAATTTTGAAATTATATTGACATATTTGTATTTTGGATTCTTGAAATGTATATTCCATATCATATCAAGTATTGATACCATATCCGTATTCACTGAAGTATTAAACTTTTAATGCTTGAGCATGATTTAGTTACTTTGTCTTTTATTTGTAAAGAAGCTCGTTAATTTTGGATTACATGTAAACATGATTCAATCAACATGATTGGTCCAAGAGGACTTTTGACCCCAAAGCCCCCCAGTCTCTATCCCTTGATAAAGCAAAAACAATTGAACATTAGTAAAAGCCAAGGCATCTTATTAGCCTCATTTCAAATTTTAAGTAATAATTATCAATCTTAACTTAAAACCAAATTTAAATGAATAATAATAATAGTTAATTTTATTAAAATATTTATTATGTTTTTATTATTTCAATATGATAAACAGGGTTTTCTCAATAGTTTCTTTTTTATTTTTAAAAGTTTAAACTCAATTTAAGTTAAAATCAAGTAAATTTAATTTAAATTAAAGAGTTTTATTAACTTCAAAATTGAGAATAAACAGTTAATAATAATAAAAATTTATTAGAAAAAAGTATTTATTATATTTTTATAATGTGAAACTGATGCTAACAAAATCTTAAATTAAAATTTGATCATCTTTAGCGAAGAGGAAACAACAATTCCGAATAATGAAGAGAAAAAAATCTGTTTGGTTGATGATTAGAATGATTGTGGAAAAAGTAAATGAGGGAACAACATGGAACGCTTCATCTTAGCAAAAGGATCTAGAGTCTGTCAAGTATGTCACAAACTTTATAGTGTTTTTCCTTTCCCATTACTTTTCTTACACACATCAACAACATTGAAAACAAACAAGAAAAAATATAGACAAAATTTCATTATTGCTATGATATCAGACCCAAAAGCATCAAAATAAATAAATAAATTAAAAGCATCCAAGGAGCTTCTTTGGAGTGGTTCCAGTTGCACGGTATTTTGCAGCTGTTTCCTCTGCCTTGAGAAATTCTTCACCACGCTTTGCTTCAACCATTGCTCTCTTCTCCTCTGCTTGTTTGTGAATTAACGCTATCTTGTTTTTCATTTTTTCACCATATTCTGCTTTCTTTTTCTCTAGTTGTTCCTGCTCAGACTCCATGGTGTTAAAAAAAATAATGTAATATTCCTAGTTCTTGAATGTTTATGTCAACATACTTCATTTAATTTCATGTACAACTAAATTCTGTTCTATGGACATGGCCAAATTTTATCTATAAAAATAATAAGAATTTTGTTAAAGTCAAATCTTTAAGATTGAATTTAAAGATTTTAGTAAAGTTTTCAAAATATAATAGAAAGAGACAGAACACCTGTTATAAGGATATGCTCAAATTTTTTCTATAAAAAAGTATTATTAACTTTTGTATGTTCTATTCATGGTTGCTTTATTTCATCGATAAAAGCATAATTCTATATGTTGATGGATTCAATTCAGGGACGGCATAGGTATTTGATTCCATTTTGACAAAAGAAAAAGAAAAATTGGATAAAGTTCCATATGTCTGGTAAAATTGAGACAAGAGTGAAGAAAATATAATTTGTTGGATAAAAAAATCTACATATTTTGGAGTCAACAGAAGCATATAATCATGCATATTATTCCATGTAACGTAGGACAACATAAATTCTTACTTTTGTCTTTCTTATCTTGATGATTATATTGTTGAGAATTAGACCTTTAAAAAGGATGTGCTAAACTGTGAGCAGTGCCAACAAGCATCATGATATCATGAATAATATAGAAAAGCTATGTTTATTGTGTCAACCAATAACTGAACAAGAAGTTCAAGTATTACCTCAATTTTTCTCAGTTTTGCTTCAAGAGCTGCTTTCTGGCTGTTTTCCCATGCAGCAACAGCAGAGAGCTGCTTTTGGGCTCTGTTAACATAACAGATAATTTCTAAAATATAGGAAAAGCTGAACATAAAGACACAATATATATAATTTTCAAATGACCCTATGAACTGCAAAATGACATTAAAATAAAGACTTACTTATTCTCTGCCTTGGATTTTTCACTTTCTTCCCATGCCTTCACATTAGATAACCTTTTCTCTTTTTCTATTTCTGCTAGAGCAATATCTGTAGATCACAGAAGTTCATTTATTAAGGAAATAAGCGTTACAAAGGAAGAAATAGAGATGTGTCAGCTAGAAATTCATGCAAATATATGCATGTACATTTGTAGTGTGTCTATAAATTAGATATGTATCTCAAATTGACTAAGAATGCATTGAGTATCGGATAAGCTTTTATTGCATAAGGGGGTTTATAGCATAAATTTGACTATAAAGCTTATTGAAATAAGCCAAAAATCATATAATAGTCATGGGCTTTTTCTAAACATACCCTAGTTCAAATAGTTATGATTTATGAAACAAAAAGTTTAAGACAATGTAAACTGAAATATTAGTAAAGTCAACACTAACCTCTGTCAAGGGATCCTCCTGTGACCTTTTTTACAGGAGCTGGTGTCTCTGCAGACCAAAAGAAAAATGGTAAAGAAAAACAATGATCTCAAAGGTAATAAGGATGTGCACTATCTTATTAAATGCAATAAATTAAAGACAGCCAGCTGGATCAGAAAAATAATTAGAATAACTTCTGCTATTAATCAATGCATTAATAGCCACAATGGAAAAAGACCTTTCCTTTCAACATGGGGGTCAATATTTTATGATCACTTGGAGGGCCTAATGAAAAAAATCATTATAGTGGGGGCAGGGGAGAGAAATTGCTTATAGAACAATAAATTATTAACATTATTTTGTTGAAAGAAATTATGTATAAATAAATATATAATAATAAAGGAGTACATAATATAAATACAGTTAGCTTTACGCCTAAAAAGCTACACATTTAGCTAGATAGACATTTATTCTTCCATTTGAAGCACCAAGACAAAATTGAACCAACTTTTGCAAGCCAAAAAGAAAGTGAGGTTACCCCATTAAGAAGACACATCATAGAAAGCATACATATCTAATAATTGAAAGGCATATCTAGAATATCACAGATAGGAGAGCTCTAAAGTCTGAACACAAGCCTCAGAGAATTCACCAAGAGGGAAAATCAATTATTAGAAGCTACAAAATTGACAATTTTTGCGTAAATTTTTTCAAACTATGTCCTTAGACGCCCTCAAAGGCAAAAATGGAAAATCATAAGAATCCCATCAGAAAAAATCTTTATGAGAGGGAGATAAAAATATTAGGGTATACAACAGATAAACAAAATCAGCAATAAAATGCAACAACACTAAGCATAGCTTGCTCTCCTTTCATTTCTCTTTTCCCAACGCTTTCTCAGCAACCAAACAGAAATTAAGAAGAGTCACAACATCACACTCAAGAGTATTAACCAAAATCAGACAGAGCAATCACGTCAAGCTGGAATTTTGATGACAACCCATGATTAATTATTCTCTGGTAAAACAATCATCGCCCTATATCGAAGCAAAAAGCAGTACACCAAAGAAATCTTGAATATGAATGAATAGTGAATAGTAAACAGAGACAACAGAATACAAATCAAACTCAAAAAACCTTTGAAAAAACAGAAAAGGAAAAAAAAAAAAACTAATTAAACATGGCAACATGCCTTGTTAGACAATTACAAAACGCAAACACAATTTCTGCACTTCAATTTTTCCAACGTTTTCTTATCAACCAAACAGTCACAACACACAAAACAAAACACTCTACAGCATTATCCACAAACCGAACACAGGAACCAAATTATCATGTAACTGAAAAAAAAAATTGAATTTTGACGGTAACCCATGATTTATAGGAGGCAAAGAGTTTGAAAATTTGACCATGAAGTAAAAAAAACTCACTCTCATTCTCAACAACAGCAAGAGCCTTGGTTTCCTCTGCTGCCGCCGGATTAGTCGGTGGCGGAGCCACCACCTTTTTCTCACCGGCGTCGACTGAGGGCGCCTCCGCCAGCGGTGGCTCGGGTTCCAGCGGTGCCGGAGTTGGTTCCACCTTGGTTTGGAGCTCTGCCATAGCTTTGGACTTTGGTTCGGTTGAATTAAGAGAGATTGATTGTTACGAGTTTATGTGATAATAACAACGTTTGTTTGTAATACACAACGTTCCTTTACACAAAGCCTTGCCTCTTCAACTCTGAGTGTGCCTTCGAATTTAAAGTGCCACAAAATTCCAACGGATAAATAGTGAAACTACTGCATCATCGTACATGTAATGTAACACGATGGTGCTAATACATGATATACAATTAAACTAGTATATGAAAAATGTCATATCTCTAATAGAAATTATATTTATAATCTTCATTTTCAAATCAACTTTTAAATATGTATTTCATCAATTATAAAATGTAACCCGATCATATTACGTAAAATTTGTTACATCAACCGTGTAAAATTATTCGATTTGATAAAAAATAAATTTTTAGATTATTATTTTTTAACAATTTGTAAATTACTTAAAAATACCTTTAAAAACCTTATAATCGTAATTTTTGATTTTTAGAGGGCCTGAAATTGAAAACGAGTGGTGATAGCGTGGAATCCGTGGGAGCACTGGGAGGACAATATTTCGAGGGGCACAGGAGAATTTGGAGCCGTAGATTTGAGGCGTGGTTTGATCGGACGGTGGATGTGAAGTGCCGACAGGTAATACGGGTAATGGGGGGCACGTGTGCATGAATGAGAATGGATGGGGTTTATCTGTTTATGCATTGAATGATGATGCATGGGCACAGGGCATGTGTATGATTGAGAGTATGCGAAGTGGTGAACGACGTCTTATTCTTCTTCGGTCGGTGGGTCCCACTCAGATTTGCATTAACGTGGGACCATCTTTCGGAGGAGACATTTCAGTAGCTAGCTAGCTTTGTCACCGCTGTTATCACATTTTGTTATATAAATAAAATATCTCCAATATTAGAAAAAATAAACTCGACAATTTTTACAAACTTCTTTTAAATAATTTTTAATGCGTATACCCTCAAAGGGTACTCATAAATTAATATAATATTTATATCCACCTAAAATAATTATCATCATTAATATTATATTAATAAAAAGTAAAAATAGTAATTTATTTAAAAATATAAATATTTTTAATATCTTAAATATTAGAAAAATCACAATTTATTAATTTAAAAAGAATGACTAATTAATTTGACCTGATAGATCATGTGTTTATTCATGCCTTAATCCATTGTTACTAGGTCATATTTAAGTTAATTACTCAAAATGATTAGAGATGTATAAAGGTTTTAACTTAACTTATCTTAAAATGAAGAATAAGATTGAAAGGTGACTTATATTAGACATTATTCTAACACATTTTTATTAATTGAAATGCAAAATAAAGTATGATAAAGGAGGTACACATATTTTACTCGGTATATACCCGGATATAAATAGTTCATCATATCATGCAGCCTATATATATATATATATATATAGACATAAAGCAGATTATTCTTTACAACTTTTCTTTTATTATTAATAATCACTATTCTTAGCGTTCGATAACTATGATTATCATGATTAATCTCACCTTTTCACAATTTTAACGTTGTGAACAAATTCATTCAAGTATTCACCATCCCCAACAAAACGGCTAAAAGAAAGAAAGAAAGAAAGAAAGAAAGGTGTTGCCAACGATATATTCTCTTTTAGGTACAATCCCATTATGCCAAAGATACGTTCATGTCATTTCCTTTTAAAGTGTTTGGGTTTTACTTGAAATAGTAAAATGAAAATTATAGTTATATATTAATTAAAAGTTAATCGTTTCATAATTAAGTATATATGTTTATGTATTTAATTATAGTCTTGACTGTTTTTTAAATTAATATCATAATTTATTACTTCATCTCTTGTTTTATAAGATTCAATTAATTCATATAGTTTTTGTTTACGAATAGCAGCTAGGAATTTTTTGTTTTACTTTTAATAATGTTAGCCAACTGTTTAATGCCTGTCTTGGTACTCTCATCCTTCTATTTGAATCCCTGGGCTCATTGGCCTTCCCATGGTTTCCTTTCTCATAGGCATTAATTATTAATAATTGTTTTGTTAATTTCAACATGAGGATAAATAACTAATAATAATAAAATTTTACTAATAAAATATTTATTATATTTGTATAATTTTAATATAATAACTGTATATTTTTTTTATAATTTTTTTTTATTTATAAATGCGTAAACTCAACATAACAATTGAAGTTAAGAAAATTCTTAATAATTTATTAAACCTTGTTGAAAAATAAAAAAGGAGAAATGGGAAAATGAGAATTATAAGAAGTTGGGTTTGTGTGAATACTGCGTATGCACTTTGCACTCATTAATTTCCACACATTTCGGCGTGTGTTTTACCATTGTTGGTGTCGGTAATTTCAGAGACACTGAGACAGTTTAGTCTTGTTACTTAGATTGTGATGGGTTGGTGAGATGTGTTATACTACATATTCAAGGAGATATAGTCTTTTCACCACCCAAAAAAGAAAGAAGCTATTGTTTTTCCTCACCTCAACTTTAGATAATTTACTAATTACATGATGGAAACCTAATAAAATTAGCTTAAACAACAACGTTTCAGAGTTAACTTGTAACATTCAAATAGATTTGTATTGGAGAAGGAAATACCTTATACCCAATAAACCCAACAGTTAAATGTTCATTTGGTTGCACAAAAACATTATCTTTTTAGCTTAAACCAGTCGATTCGATCAGACCAGCTTATTTACATGTTCTAACTATAATGTGAGTATTAAAGGTAGATGATTCTTCCCTTTTGATATATATAATTATAACGTTTAATTACCATTGCTTGGGAATATACACAAGAGCACATGATCATAATTGCTTTTATTACAGAATTTGCACGTTATCAGGGCAAAAGCAAACAAAGGGTATTGGGTTATTAATTGCCAACTATTTTTGTGAAGATAGCCAGCTATGATTCTCCCTTTGGGTGGAAGAACAATTGTTAACTTTTTCTTGTTGGCATTCCTCGCAATGACATTATTCCCTTACCAGTGTTTCGTTTATCATAAGATTAATGCAACTATTGATTATTAATAATTGATGTTGACCTTCCAAAAAATAAACTAAATGTGGTTGGTGGACAGGAAAATTGTGATGGAAAAATGTGCAATTATGATATGCCAATTGAGAGTGTTTTCTTTCACTTTCCACTCGTCTCCTCGTGTGTATATATGGGTTTTTCTTGACTATATTGAACAGTTGCACTTTATGCATACATAATTCAAATTAATTAATCCAATTTTAATATATTACACAATTATTTTTCTTATACAACACCTTAACTTTTAAAGGAATGTTTGCATTCTTAAAAGTTAAAACACATTTTCTAACACTCTTTATCATTAACTAAAATTTATTAAAAATAAAAAAATTAATTTAAAAATAAAAAAATGAAACAAGTAATTTTTATAATTTTTAATAAAAAAATAGAAAGTGTATTAAATAGAGTGTTGTTGGCATTAATCCAACTTTTAATGTGTAGTAATACTTGATATCAATATATTAAGGTATTTTTCAAGCAAAATGTAACGAGAAGTTAGAGTTATTAAAATGAAAGTTAGTTTAATTATGTCAGCTTAAATTTAAATAATAAAATATAAGATTTTTGTTTTAAATTTTAAGCTCAAATTAAATTTAGGTGTTTTTACTCTAATCTAATTAAGTTTAATGCACAAGTTAAAATTGAAACACATTCTTTTTCGGCCGATAAAAAATCCACCTCCTACAATAGTTATTATATTTTTAGAATGTGTCTACAAATATTGTAATTCACGAAATATTAAAAAAAGTTACATGTAATTTTTGTTAAACAACATATTTCATTCACACATAACCAATAAAATTCATTTATATAATATATTTATATTTTCGTTAAGAATTTAATTAATTTGTAATGATTACTTTTCATGAATCATTCAACCTTTTACAATATATAACCGTTGGATGTTTCAATCTTACATTACATTAATGATTAATGATAATATTCTTAAATTGCTTTTAAACGTTATAGCTGTGTTTTTTTAATGGTATATTAGCTGGTTGTTTTGTACTTTTGTGTGTACCTTTTTTTTAAGTAAAAATGTTTACGTGAGAAAAGGTTTTATGTAGCGACCTTACTTTTAAGTAAAGCATTTATATTTATATTAAAAGTAAATGGTGTATTGAATCAGAAAAAAATAAATTAAAAATGATTATCAAGAGATTTTTTATTGTTTGAACAAGTAATTTTTTTTTATTAGTTTTGAATTTTAATTTTTAGTTTTTTTTTTTGGTCGATCTAATTTTGGGTTTAAAGAATTGAAATAATTTAGTAAAAGGTGTATAATGCTTAGCCTAAAAACTATGTTCTATCTACACTAATTCAGCAATTAGCCCAAAGAGGGAAGAAGTGGAATTCATTGTCTTTATTTTTTCATAAAATATTTATTAACCTTTTTATCCTGAGGTGTAAATGAAATGACCATTTTTTATTTTTTTAAATTAACTAATTAATCTTTTTTTTTTAAAAGACTTGTTGTATGACACGATTTTATTTTTTATTACAAATTAAATACGAAAACTAAGTAATTTAACATGATTGGTTAAGCAATAAATTAGAAAATAGCAAGAAGTGGTTAGTTGACAAAAGTTAAGATGTAATATTGTGTTACAGTTTTTGTCAAACCACAATTAATACTATTTATTTTTTAAAATTTAGTAAATTTTGTTCTCCTATCATTTTTTAAAAATCTAAAACCATCAAGTTTTTATCAATGAAATTATCTTATATTTAAAACTCATTGAATAACATATCAAATATTATGAAAATAAAAAAATATCAAACTTTTTTCTCTTTAAATTTTAACATCATATTTTTATAAAATTATTTCAATTTTATTATTTTTTACTTAACTTTTTACTTATAATTTTAAAAAAATATAACTCGAACCTCACACTCTCAAATATTTATTAAAAGATAGTATTTTAAGATTTTAAGTGAAAAAATCACACATAAAAATAAAATAAACTTAGTTTTAAAATATAAAAATAAATTTTTTAAAAATAAATAAACTAATCACACATTTTTTTTTGTTGAACGCACAGTAAAACCTAAATAAATTAAAAATCCAATTAAAGAAGAAATAGAGGTCCAAACGAAATTATTGGGCTTTCATCTCAGAACAGTGATACTTAGTATCCCCCCCAGAAAAAAAAAATGTTCCAAATAGGCACGCGACAGATTACAGAATCAGTGTTGATGAACCTCAACCATGGCTATGGAGATGGAGTCTTCGGTTTCATCTTCTGAGGAAACCAAAAGTTGGGGCCAAAGGGTATCTGAAAATGTTCTTTCTTTCTACACTTCTCTTCCCAAGAAAGGAAAACCTCAAGCCCGTGAAGTCACCGTTTTGGCTGCTTTTCTTCTCTCTTCTCCTTCCAATGGTTTTCTTCTTCCCCTTTCCATTACCCACTATCCAAGTTTCAGTCTTTTATCAAAATAGAAGGAAATAAAAAGCAAACTTTATTTATTTTTATTACTGGGTTTAAGATTTGAAGGTTGTTGCAATGGGAACTGGAACAAAGTGTATTGGACGTTCTCTCTTGCGCCCTTTCGGTGATGTTGTTCATGATTCCCATGCTGAAGTCATAGCTCGAAGAGCTTTGATGAGGTTTACTTCCTGTCCTCTTTTTTTAATTTATATGTTTATTTTTTGTCAGCTTTTTGCATTTTGATTCATAACCATGCAAAAATTTGTATAAATAGCTTCACGGTCTTATTAGTTTGAGTAGTTTGGATCTGTAAAATGTGCTAATTTTGAATATTGATGTTGTAGACTTGTCCATGTGTCATATTCATATTCATTGACATGATGTTGTAGGCTTTTAAAGTGCATTTTTTATTTTACTGAAGTTTTGTAAAATTGTAGTGTAGTACTACTACTCTTTATGTTCAATCAGTATGCTTGGTGTGTGAGAAGATGCTATTTCATTTGTTTCTATTCACACCAGGTTCTTCTATACACAGATTCAACATCTTACTGAAACTAGTACTGAGCATGGACCTAGTAATGGAGGCAAACGTTTTAAAGTTGATGATGGAAACTTGCCATTTGAGTTGGACGCAGGGTATCATGATAAAGGAAAATATACACTGAGAAGGGGTTGGAAATTGCACATGTACATATCACAGTTACCATGTAATCTAAGTTATCACTTTCTCCCTTTTCTCTCTCTCTAATAATCCAAAGTCTTCCTTTATTTTTCACTGTAAGTGGGTTGGGTTCCAAGGGTAATTGCCTTTTGTGTTGCATTTTCTATAGGTGGAGATGCTTCACTGAGCTCATATGTCTATCCTTTGGAAACTTTGCCTTTAGGAGAAAGTGATTCGACTTTACCTTTTGGTAAGCTAAATGATTTTATGGATAAGTTTTACAATATTTAACATTTTATATATAAAATGGTTAAGGCCAAGAGGAACCTTAGATAGATGAGATTAAGAAAACATCTGAATAACTCAAGAACTTTCTTAGTAGCAAATATATTTGCTAAGCTCTCTTTCCTTCTATACTTCAATGATTGCTCTTCGATTGTAATTCTTATAAAATTTGATGGATATTTATATTTTATAATTGAAAAATTGGTGGTTATTTTTTTTGGTCTGAGGAGAAATACTTTTTGCCTTTAATTACAGATAATGGTTTAAAACAAAAGGGTATGGTCCAGAGGAAGCCGGGTCGTGGTGATACAACATTGTCAGTTAGTTGCTCTGATAAGATAGCTCGTTGGAATGTTCTTGGTGTTCAAGGTTAGATATTCTGAAATTGGGCCTATTTGACTGTTTGCAGTTTCTGCATGGAAATCAGTTGTGATGTGATATTTGCAAATTCTCTCTGTTATAAAATTATGGTTTTAATACAGTAACAGCACATATGGACACACAGGTACATACTGGTGTATGTACGCATGAAGTTTTTGCATGAACTGTATTTGGTTGTGTAATTCTGACACCTGTTGATTTGACATTTACTTATTCATTTATATTTTACAAATTTTATACAATTTTGTATTACTAGAACCTAAATGTTTATAATTTGATCATAGACACAAATGTGAGGATTGAGGTATATCAGCGGTTATAACAAAACAAATAGTCACATTCGCGAACATGAACTAGAGCTTTGTGATGATCTTATATATGGATATGACATTTTTTGGTGTATAAGTCTAGTGTTGTGACATTGTTTCTGTTATTCCAGGAGCTTTGCTTTCCTATTTTCTTCAACCTGTATATCTTTCTTCAATTACCGTTGGTCTGCCCCTTAACAGTCCTGGTAATTTTCATTTGGAGGATAACATGAAAAGAGCTTTGTATGAACGTATTCTGCCGTTGTCGAGTGAACTTACATCTCCATTTCTCGTGAACGAGGTCTGTGGGATATTCAGTATCTTAGTGAGAAATAAAAGTGAGTTGTAGGATGTTGACATTTATGTATTTTTTCATTTCATAGCCGCTATTTCATACTGCTCCAGTACCACCGAAGGACTTTCAGCAATCTGAGAGTGCTGCTAACACTTTAACATGCGGGTACTTGCATCAAATGTTGGAAAAATTGTGAAGTTAATATAACCTTACAGTTTGATGTTAGTAGCTGAATGCTTAACCCTACAGATATTCTATATGTTGGAATGAATGTGGCTTGCATGAAGTCATCCTAGGAACTACTGGAAGAAAGCAAGGCACCTCCGCAAAAGGGGCACTTTATCCATCAACAGAATCATCTTTATGCAAGTAAGCTGGCACATACCATGGTAGAAATTTTGTTTGTTAAGCACTAGTTATAATAATGATAGTTATTACTTATGATTATTATTTTTCAGAAAGAGATTGTTAAAGGTTTTCTTGTCACTGAGGCAGGAGTGCTTGACTAGTTCTTTGGCGGACGGGAGTACTTATCGAAAACTTAAGGTATCTTAATTTTCTTCACATTCTCTGTCTCTTTATGGTATGATTTAAGTTGTCTTATATTTATGAGAATTTAGCTTTTGACATAGCTTAATGGTATTGCGTGATCAATGTAGCATAGCAGACCTCAGTTATTTGGGATCAGGCCTATATTATTGTGTAATTTATGTGTTTCTGCAAATAGAGTGGAAAAATGTTTATGATCTTGCATCTCCTAACTTGTTTTACATGGTTAATCCTTTGCAGGATGGGGCTGAAGAATATCATTTGGCTTCCAAAATTTTTAAAGGAAAGCTACCTTTTAGCAATTGGTTCTTGAAACCCTCCAACTGTGAGGCATTCACCATTTCGGAATAATTCATTTAATTATCTGTCTAAAGCCAATCTTTGGTGGTGCCAATTGAATTGCGTGCAAGTGCTCTTAACATTTTAAAAGGATTTGCCACTATGTTGCTTGTATACAAAATTTTATGTACCTTGTAATATATATTCACAAACATGCACATTAGTTCATGAGTCAATTATGGTTGAATCACTGTAGTACAGTAGAAGAGTGTTTTTATTAATTTAATCATGTGATTTAGTTTTGAAAACATTAACAGTTAGTTTGAAATTGAGATACCAATAGCATCTAATGTTATTAATGCATTAAATTATGTAATATCCTGTAGTTTTTACAAATAATTTGTTATACGTAAGTTCTTGTGTTTTTAGCACATTAGAAAAATCATGTGTGCTTGCCGCAATTACTCATCTACCCACATTTTATTAGTTTTATTATCAATTGGTGTATTGCTCACACTTCTAACCATTTGTATATTCGAGTGTTAGGAATATACTTTCTCTAACATTTTTAATTTTATTGGTTAAATTTATTAAAAATTACAACAACATGAATATGATGTATTAAATTAAGAGTAAGGTTTACATAAATTTCAGTTATTATAAAATATCTATAATCAGCAATACCATTTGGAATGAAAAACAGAATTTGAAAAAAAGATGGGTTAAAGTTTACAAATCAAAAGGTCCAGTTTATGTCACTGAAAGCGTGCACTTTGAAGATTGAAGCAAGCTGTTAATCTATATGGTTCATGAACATGCAACGGGCAAAATGGGACATGTAATGTGCATCGGCTTTGATGTTCAAAACTCAAAAGTCAATTTGCAGTTTGCTTAATTCTTGATAGTTTGGTCAATTGCTGTGTGTAACAATTTAATATTCTTACACTAATTAATCTATATAACTATTACTTAGCCTGATCTCTCTAAAACATCAATTAATCGATAAGTCAATATCCACAATAAAAGCTAAAAACATTATATCAGTTCATTAATCAGCTTATATATTTTGTTAACAAATAATTGTACTTTTAGCCAAATTAATTACTGTAAAAATGACGTATGCAAAAAGGTTGACACCAAACTTTTTTTTACATATATAATAGCACCAATATGACGTACAAGTCTCTTGAAGTGATTAAATGTACAAAGCGAAAAACATATCTTATAAATTTAACTAACTTCAAATCAATACATCATTCATTGATATCATTTCCCTGTTATGGTGGTAAAAACTAAAAATCTTATCACATGTAGACCCTGTCAGATTTAAATTCCAATGAAAATTGACCAATGAGAGATAGAGTGAGATCTAAAACAAGGGCAAGGGAAACAAAAAATAGGGGTAGAAGGTCTCTTCGAAGAGCTTCAACCACAAGACAAGCCCTTATAAAAGTAACAAATGGTAACATAAAAGCTGAACAAACTTTAATATGATATTCACATTTCAAATGATTTGGACTTGATTCGGACCCAAAAGCTAACTAAAAAAAAATAAAATAACATAGTCAAAAGTTTTATAAGATGTGAGATTTTAAAAGCAGACATGCGCTGTTTACTTCATTTGTTTTATTTACTTATTAATTGCTAAAATTTGGCATTGACACATAAATGTTTATATAGTGCAACGCTCAAAAACAAGTCAGCACGTGGTTGGCTAATCAATAGAGAAACTAGGCACAGTTGGTGGATCTTAACCTAAAAATGATGTATATAATATATTTTACTAAATTTGGTCCATACTTGAAGTAATTGACTACTTAGCAGTGATTACTTGAAAATTGCTACGTAGTTTGGTATCAATCAGTCACATGATAGAGACGAAATTAGAAGTCATTGCTTACTTTTCACCCCAGCCTATTTGTTTTGCCAATCTTTCTTGCAACCCCACTGCTGGAATTGTAGCTTACAAAACAATTTCCAAATCAATATTATGAACCTTTATTTTTCCTTGAATAAATTTTAGCTCTTGTTTAGTAGATAAGATCATATAAATTCATATTTTTAATATTTATTTAATGATACGTATCCTGTAGATTTGTTTTATCCTATTGTTATAAATTTTATTTTTGTAAAAAATAGATAAAATATAATAACATAATATATCTACCATGGTGGCAAGTGAGATTGGAGGATTCCATGTTGACTCATTTTGAGCAATCGACAAGACGCTGAGAGCATTGCATGCATTCCCGTTTGAAACGTTGATTGAATTGAGGAGCAAGTTACGGGCATAAACGTGGAATAGCCTTTACAAACAAGTGAACTTTAGCATACGTTTCCTCATGTTATTTCTTTTGAGTAGTAAACTCAGATTGTAAAATAATTATTTGGGAGTTTCTTTTTTGTTTAAGAAAATCTTGTACATATTAAAGAGCCATGCATAGCAGCATCATAGAGGGACTTGGAATTCAACTCAAAAGAATGAACAAAGACAACGAGGCCTATCTGAAACTCTTCTGGGCTCGTTCTAATAATCAGAAAACGTGTTTCTTGTCGAAGAAGACCAAAACCACTGCAATTGCCACCACAGTTTTTGTGCTGTTTTGCTTCGTAGTCACTTTCTGCGCTTTTGCATCATGGAATATGGTGAGTCATCCTGCAAATTCAAACCTGTAAAAACACATTGGTTTCATAAAATGTTCTTTACTTTTATTTTTATTATAGAATTGTCACATTACTTTTATTTTAAATATTAGTACAAGAAACATCATTTGTCTATTTTTTTTATATAAATAATTGAAAACAAGTATAGAGAGAAAATAAAATGACAATTTTGTAATTAAAAATAAAAATAACAATATATTTTTTTCTTTATCATCTAATTTCTTCTTGAGTTGATATGGTACATAAACATATACTCTACACCAAAAAACTCTAAGATGTCTAATTGAAGAGTTCTTTCACTTTCTTTAAGTATTTTGTTATGAGCACTTTTAGTTAGAACTTGTTCAAAATATACACCGCAGCAATAGCTACTTCCATCTAAAATTTTTTAGGTATTTATTTTGTTTCAACATGCAACTCACCATATATATGTTTATTTTATTTTTTCTTTTACTTTAATTTTATTGGAGAGTGTATTTAATTGTTATTTAGTATTGAATTTCATATTGTTCGAAGAGATATACACATGTAAGATATTTTTTAGTTTTATATGTCTTGAAAGCTTTAATTCTACAACTACTTTGTTTCTCCAAAAATGCCTTAAATAATTTATAGACATCAAAAGCTTTTTATTTATGCTTCAAAGAATACATTCAATGATTTTTGCTAAAACTATCAAAAGCTACCACTGTGTCAGTATTTCGATTGTTGACAAATATTAATGAACAATCTCTATAACTTTTTTGTCTTTTAAGATTTTGTAGCTAGAAAAAAAAATGTTTGTATTTCTTTCTCAATTCTTAATTTTTACAGGCTAATATTACAAAACGGTAATAATAAAAATATTCAAAACTTAATCATAAAGGACTGTGTACAATTTGCATCCAACTTGCATTCCCGTGGCTAACTTTCACACTTCGAGAGATGATAAAATATTATGACTCTTAATAATTATAAGTTATCACTCCTATCTCTTCACCATGAAAAAGTATTCGATGCAAATAAATACTTTCATTTGGTTAACATCTTTTAATATATTAACTCTTTTTATATGTCATCATTGCTTGATTTAATGACTTTTGAGGGAGTCCATTTATGTATGTTAGCATATAATTTTAGAAAAGGAAACATCATTCTTGTTTCTGTCGAAATTGTTTCTTTTTGTTGGTCCTATGTACACCAACATATGCACGATCATTTTAAAGAAAGAAAAATGAAAACGTGGCAAGAAGGTGAAAAAACTTTTTATTCGCTTTTTTCTTTCTACGACAATATTGAATTAAAATGGAACAAAATGCCGAGAACTTGACCAAGGAAGCTCAAAACAAGAAACTATCATATTTTTTTGGTACAAGTAACCACTCTTTTATTTTTTAGAATGCCATCACATATCCAGATGTTTATTAACTAATTTTTAATCTGGCTAGCATTAAAATCACATTAAAATCTACATTGATACTTGATCATTTATACCTTGATCCAATTAATTTGATAAAAGCCTGATATATATTTAAATTGTTTATGAAGTCCACATTTGCAGGTTTTTCCACAACAAACCAAAACCTCTCTATGATCCACATAGCCAAACCCCAAGAACAAGAATTTCCTCTTAGGTGCATCGAAGGGGAAAATGTGATACAAACGTGCCCAAAAGACTACTACCCCACATCACATAAGCCCACTAGTAATCATAGTCGTACATGTCCCTCATACTTCAAATGGATCTATGAAGATCTAAGGGCATGGAGAGAGAAAGGGATCACAAGGGAGATGTTGGAAGGGGCAAGAAAAACAGCATACTTTAGGGTTGTGATTTTAGAGGGGAAGATGTATGTGGAGAAGTATAAGAAATCATTTCAAACAAGAGACGTGTTTACTTTGTGGGGCATATTGCAACTCATGAGATTGTACCCTGGCAAATTGCCTGATTTGGAGCTTTTATTTTATTGTAGTGATAGGCCTGTTATTCCAATGAGAAGCTTTAAAGGCCCAAATGCTACCCCACCACCTTCGTTTGGATATAGTTCAGATAAGTGGAGTTGGGATATTGTGTTCCCTGATTGGTCCTTTTGGGGATGGTAAGTGTTAACTAAAATAAGCACCCTTCCTTCTTTTTACCAGAAAATAAAAGTAAGAAAACTCTTCTTTAAAATTTTCTATAATAGTATACTCCCAAATATATTTTGTTAGACAGTTTTTATAATTAATTTATCTATCAAATAATCAATTTAATCATTCCATCAACATATCACTTTTGAAATAATGTATTAACTTTTTAGACAATGAACTAATGATAAAAAGTGTATTTAATTTAGAAATTATATTTAACTTTCTTCTCTTGCATATATATGGTGCCATTAGTTGACATCCTACATCATATTATGAATTTTTTTGCGTGTATACATATATAGTTCGAATTGTACGCATGGCTGACATTAATTTGGCCAATATATATTTCAATCTAGTTGTAAAACAATGTTAATCTCGATATTCTTTAAAACAGGGCAGAGACAAATATAAAGCCATGGAGAGAAGTTCTGAAAGATATTAGAAAGGGGAACAAGAAGACCAAGTGGAAGGATAGAGTACCCTATGCTTATTGGAAGGGGAACCCTGATGTTGCTCCAACTAGGAAAGACCTTATGAAATGCAATGTCACACCAGAATATGACTGGAAAACTCACCTATACAGACAGG